AAGGACTCTCAGACCACGAGAAACAAAATTCTCTGGTCTGATGAAACAAAGATTGAACTCTCTGACCTGAATGCCAAGCGCCATGTCTGGAGGAAACCAGGCACCGCTCATCACCTGTACCATCCCTACAGTGGGACTGTACTGGGAGACTAGTCAGCAGGGCCACTGGAAGTAATTTTGAACAGGGGGTGCTGTGAAAAAATTGTTTGTTTGTTTTTTTTGGACAAAAAACCTATGAGCCTACAGGCCTATTTAAAATACATTTTAAAAATAAATAAATAGATTGAGATTCACTACTTTATTGTCATATACACTTCAGTGCACACAGCCAGGGTCTCTAACACACAGACTTCATCAGTTCTCAGATGAATATATGCGCTATTAATTAAACTTCACAATAACGCTATAACAATGCAATAGATTTGGTCAGCTGGCATGAACCTGAGTCACTGCACCATGTACGTTTATGTCACACGCAACTCTATTAGTTCCAAAATCCTTTTACGCAAACCACAAGGAAATAATCTCTGACTATTTCAGCACGTTATTGAACAGTTCTCCACATCCATTACGCAAAGAGCACACGATCAAAATAACACTCTCCATCTCCATCCCCACCACCTTGCAAAAATACTATATAGTGTTACGTTAAACTGCATGAATAGATATGAAAAGTGCGCGGCGGCACCATGCTCTTACTTTGAGCTACAGGCAGGGTGCCCTGGTTACAGGTGTCCAAATGTCGAGGTGCGCTCTGGGATCGTGGAGATAAAGTCTCTCATGAGGGGACGAATGTCCAGGGAGTCATAAGGAATTTATAAATTGTGCAAAATATTTTTAATACATTTTTTAAAAATCTCCCTCTTGCCACTAGGGGGTGCTGCAGCACCCCCAGCACCCCCACTTCCAGCGGCCATGCTAGTCAGCATCGAGGGAAAAATGAATACAGCAATGTACAGAGACATCCTTGATGAAAACCTGCTCCAGAGGGCTCTGCACCTCAGACTGGGGTGAAGGTTCATCTTCCAACATGACAACAAATCTAAGCACACAGCCAAGATAACAAAGGAGTGGCTTCGGGACAACTCTGTGAATGTCCCTGAGTGGCCCAGCCAGAGCCCAGACTGAAACCTGATTGAACATCTCTGGAGAAATCTGAAAATGGCTGTGCACCAACGCTTCACATCCAACCTGATGGAGCTTGAGAGGTACTGCAAAGAAGAATGGGAGAAACTGCCCAAAAATAGGTGTACCACGCTTGTAGCATCATACTCAAGAAGACTCGAGGCTGTCATTGCTGCCAAAGGTGCTTCAACAAAGTATTGAGCAAAGGCTCTGAATACTTATGTACATGTTCTATTTTGGTTCTTTATTTTTAATATATTTGCAAAAACTTCAAACAGACATTTTTCACGTTGTCATTATGGGGTATTGTGTGTAGAATTTTGAGGAAAAAAAAATTCTATCAATTTTGGAATAAGGCTGTAACATACAGACTTGTTTTCCAGTCCTGGAAACACCTGGATATTGATTAAAATGACAAGTATCCTGGGAATAATCTATGTTGTCTTGAAAATCTGAAATTGTATTACTCAGATCACCTATGTAAATCTAGGTTAGAGGAAAACTGTAGTCAAATCACCAGAAAGAAAAATCCCCTGTGGTGACAACACCACAAAAGTGAGCTAACGTGGAGCGTCACATAAACAAGCTATATCAGATTTATCAGATCTGGAATCAGTCTATGTGAAATGATTGTTTATCTAACTACAGTAACTTGTAACATTAAAATGTGTTTTGGTCGTAACTACCTGTTGCCATATTTAATTTCATTTCATTAGAGAGATCATGCATCCATGCACACAATGATGCTACAACTGCAAATACTGTGAGACTTTAGCAGCAAAATAAAAAAAACCTGTAATAATAACTTTGACAAGTCTGAAAGTGTTTTTTAACTTTCTGGAGTAAATTGCACCGATCTTTACTTACAGTATACGAACTCAGAACTTCGAACTCAATGTGAGGATGACCACTGTGTAACACATGACTGGAGTCTATAAACTTGGAATCTGTGTGTAGCAGCTCACCTGTCTGAAGTGCACAAAAGTACAGAAGGTCAATTACTGTAGATCCTGACTAAATAATTATGAATAATTGATGAAGTTACCACTGTTGTGCCATTGCTGTTTTTGTGTAATTATGCCAAATGCAGCATCCTGACTGTAACATATAGAATACTCATCTGACTATTAGCATATAAGCAAGTAAATGGTAAAAAGTACCGTACTTGTATAGCGCCATTCTAGTCTTCTGACCACTTAAAGCAGTGCACACTACATGCCACATTAATCCATCCACACACATTCATACACAAACTAATTAATTCACAAAAACATCAATTTGTGGTTCAGTAAATCCGTCCTCCGATTCAATTCATGCACAGTGAGTCCGAGTCCTTTTGTCCTTCCTTGATTCTCTCCAATGAATGTTCCTCTGTAGGCTATCCCCACTCTCTGCCCACATCTTACATTTGGCACCACGGCTACAAGACGCTGAGCTGTCACCTTTTCTCTTATCATATAAATCAAACCTGTTCTGAAAACTTTAATGATGATAAAAGTTTTAAAGTTGGTGTGTAAACATGATTGACACAGCGTGAGAGGTCATGTTTATTTTTAAACGTGCAACAATTTGGGAGGAAGAAAACCTACTTGGTGTGCAGTGGCCATAAGATTTTGTCTGTCTCACCTGTAGCTCAGAGGCAAAGCGGGTCTTCCACTAATCAGAAGGTTGGTGGTTCGATCCCCGGCTCCTCCTGTCACATGTCGAAGTATCCTTGAGCAAGATACTGAACCCCAAATTGCTCCCAGTGCTGTGCGTCGGTATTTGAATGTGCATGAATGTGTTAGTTTCTGTTCGATGGACTTTGCCATCGCTGTATGAATGTGTGTGAAAGGGTGAATGTGGCACCTAGTGTTAAAGCGCTTTGAGTGGTTGGAAGACTAGAAAGGTGTTATACAAGTACAGGTCCATTTACCAGTTATACTTTCTCCACCAGCTAGTCAAGAAAGTGTTTTTCACTGCCTGTTGTGCTAGAGTGATGGCATATAGCTGCAGCAGATGTGCTTTTGTCCCTGCAAGTGCCTTGTTTGCTTTGCTTGGTGAGCAGAGACAGCAGACACAATGGAGAGTGACAAAATAAGGGATGAGAATGAGTGATAGGGAGGTACTACTGGTACTACTCTCAGTCTGTCAGTGCCCTTGTTAATCACAGCTCCGCATTGTTCAGGCCACCTTTTTGTGCATTTATGTATACAGTATGTCATAATGGTGGGTGAGTGTGGCATTGCTTTGTACTTCAGGCATACATTATTTTCACAGATTTTTTTGCAGTGGTGGTACTGGATTCTGTTTGTAAAAAGAATAAACTGCTGTTACAATGAACACTATAGACTGTGATCAAAATCTGTTGACAGGAGTATGGCATGAGTTTGTTGATATCTATGAATATCTGGGCAAACAGTTTCGTAAACAGATTTGCTCATACCACTACTTTGGCCTTACATGACCCACTTTATGCTGCGGTATATTTCTATCTCAGGCTACAAGATGCATCACTGTGTATTGTACACTCTGGTTAGATGCCCTTACGTTGCTCTGGGTAGGATGCAACACTGGTATATAATAATGTACAGTCATTCTCTGCAGATGACCTCTGTATGCTCTTCAGTTCGTAACACCAACAATATTAGATCCAACAATATGCTAGGCTTAAAGGTGCCACTGTGCAGGCTGAATCTGTACATTTTACTATAGTCCCTGGTCTTGGAATGACCTTCAGTCTCTCCATTGAACCAGTTATAAACAAAGGTTAACTGAAGTTTTTATTACAAAATGTTCATGCTACAGTACATAATTCATTTATGTGGTTGATGTGTGGAAATGAGCTATTATCCTGTCTTATTTATAATGTACTGTTTTGTATTGTATGTATGTTGCTTTATATGTTTAGCTACTGTGCGTATAATTTGGTAATTCAGTGTTAAGTTACCCTCTAAACCCCTCTATATTGTTATAAATATTGTTGACAAACAAGGTCAGACAAAGAGCTTAGTGTCAGAACTTTACTATTACGTTACGATTAACAATTTCTACTTACAAGTTTCTGTACATTTAGTCATTCATTGTACAACAGATGTGGTTTAGGGACCTAGGAGCGCAGCTTAGTCAGGGTCACTTTTTCATGTTTTGTTCACTGGTAGGGTGAGGCTGAAAAGGCACTGGAAATGTATATACATTTAAATTCATTGTGTAGTATACACAAAGCTGACCATGAAATGTATGACAGTATAACTATTTCACAATATGAATACATACTTCCTGAACATGGAAAATCACAAACAGAAATATATGTGTGTTTGCACTTTGTTCATCCATCAATGTGTCTGCTGTGTCTGTATTTCTGTTTATTCTCAAATATTCCTGTGTGATATGCAAATGACGAGCTAACACTACTGAATCATTATATTAGCCTGTATTACTGTGCTTTCCATTTACCTAGGAGTGTTAATTTGGAAGCTTATCCTAAAGCTATGTCTAATAAAGCTGAAAATGTTCTGCCATTAGTTCAGGCCTAAACCAGTTAGCTTCTTTGCTGCGATAGTAATAAAGCAAGCACATTCTATACACCAGTCTAAGCTCTTTATTGGCCGATCTTAGGCTGTTTTATTCCAAATAAACCAAATATTGTAGTCCAGTTGTGAGATGTGTATCATTTTGATCGCAATAAAGCTCAGTGAACCTGTGGAAGCTGAGCTCTGTGTGAGGTGAAAGGCTCCATTTCCACCTCTTAATCGATAGAAATGTGTGTTCTTAGCTGTAAGCGTGTCATGCTTTTTGTGGAATTATGACCAAGTGTCTCCTCCTCCCCCTCTTTTCTATTTCTTGCCTTCTCTCCTCTCGCCATTTTTCTCTCTACCCATCTGTCTCCTCTGCAGGTTTTGGCTTTGTAACATTTGAAATTGAGGATGTGGTGGAGAAAGTCTGCGAGATCCATTTTCATGAAATCAATAATAAAATGGTGAGTGGGTCCCATTGCATTTCACAATGTCTGAGACAGATCTGGATTCATGTTTGATTTTTCCTACATATAGCAGTAAAAGCCATGGTAGAAAATGACACCAAACTGGCCAGGATGGAGACTGGTGTACACACACATTTACACATGCAAGCACAGATATTGAGGGATGAGGGAAGCGGAGGTCAGGCTCCACTGTCCTGTACAACCTGTCTGTTCAGTACAACCGATCACTAACCATGAAATTGTGTGTATGATCCCGAAGCACGCAAAAGGGCAGAACAACCTGGCCCTACCTCTGCCCCCATGTCCAATTTCCACGCCAGGGTAGTCTGCAAATTAGACTGGAATAGCCATGACTGAAGGTCTGACATTGTAACAGACAGAAAAAGGTCATAGTGGACACGGGGGCCCAATAGAAGATCCCAGGTTAGTGTACGGTTACTGTATCCCAAACTTCAGCTGACCACTTAAATGTAAAACAAAAATGAGCAGTTGCATATTCCACATATGTAATATGTAACTTAGTAATTCAGTAACATCACTTAAGCATCTTAATAGCTTTCTTGGCTCTGATTGGTTGTTTTCGTTCAGGCCCAGTGGATTCTTGCAAATGCCATTAGGAGCACTAGGAGGAGCCAGAGGAAACTGAAAATTACCTGCAGCCTTAAACACGCAAGCTTTATTTTAGAAGTCTAGCTGCATGTTGCATATTTATTCATGCTAACTTGATTGTGGAGCCCTATGCCTCCACACCGAGTCAAAGTTCAAAACAGAGGGCCACTGACCAAGAAGCAGAATTTGACAAGTTGGGAGTGAAAACATGCTGCTTATTTCTTAATACCATTATGTCATGTTCCATTTGCAAATAGGCAAAATCCATCCAACTGACCCACATAATTCCTACAGGTTCACCAAGCAGCCTACAATGAACAAAATAAAAATCACAATTACCTGAGTACCCATCCCGTCTCCCATTGTTCTTTCCTGGGAAACCAGATACATCCAGCGTAGGGGCAGCTGTGGCTCAGAGGCAGAGTGGGTCGTCCACTAACCGGAAGATTGTTGGTTTGATCCCCTGCTCCTCCCACCACGTGTCAATGTGTCCTTGAGCAAGATACTGAACCCCGAATTGTTCTCGATGCTGTGCATCGGTGTGTGAATGTGTATGCCTGACTTAAGTTTTTGTTCTATGGACTTTGTCATCACTGAGTCAATGTGTGTGAAAGGGTGATTGTGGCATGTATTGTAAAAGTGCTTTGAGTGGTCGGAAGACTAAAAACTACATTATACAAGTACATGTCCATTTAACATTTACCAGTGTTTCTGCTATACAAATAAACTCGCCTTGCTAGTTGTTTATGCTTTGATGAACTTCATTTTGAGACCATTCATTTTTGACCTTAGGAACACAAATAATCTTTCCTACAATTTCCTCTGAGTTGCTTTTGCTGGAGCTTTAAGCATGGTGGTATTGAAGAGGATGGTAAGCTAGTTCCTAGACACCTGTGTTCACATGGATGCTGACAGCAGCATTAAGACCACAGTGTGTGGGAAACCAACTCACACAGATCAATATCACAATTTGTACGACAACCACCTACAACATTAAAGATCAGTTGTAGAGGACCCTTCTACACAGAGCACAACATCTTGTTACTGAGGAGGATAGAGATAGAGGGGTGCAATAGGTCAGGGATAAACAGGTACAAGGACTTGATGATGAGAATTCTATCCCAACTTTAAGGTCTAGTTTGTGACATTTAGGAGCATCTAGTGGCAGAAATGGAAAATAGCATGCATAAAATTGTTTTCATTAGGGTATAATCACCTGAAAATAACAATCGTTATGGGCCTTTTAGATCCACAGATGCTGTCGATTGCTTTCCATGGAGGTCCCCATGTTGAATCGCCATGTTTCTACACTTTCATTGGCTACTATGGTCTCCTTTGCACTTGGAAAGGACTTGAAGCACTGTGTAGTTCTACCTTTTACTTATTAGTAATAATTTTATGAATGAAACCTACAGAGCGGAACAGGTAGCATTATAAAGCAGTTTAGGATGCGCTGATTATGATAATGATCAAATGCACTTCCTCATAAGCAACCTGATAGAATCAATGTACAATTGTGCAGTTAAAGGTTCTATATGTAACTATCAGATAACCATTGTTAATAGTGCCACCAGTGGCCGTGAAGTGAACTGCATTCAGCATCCTGTTATTCGCACTAAATACAGAGTCCATAGGATCTGTAGCATCATAAATCAAATCATACTTTCTGTTGTGGTGGGTGTTAGTCGTTTGTTGATGTTTGTCGACCCCATTTATAAGCTAGCAAGTGTTGCACACTGTTGACACTGTAGGGAATAGGAGAGAGAGGGCACTCATAAACGTAACATCCTTTGGATTTTCACTCAAAATCTGACCTTCACTCCTACATAGAAACACATATAAATCCGTCCACAGGCAGCAGAGAAAGTCGGGTAAAGTCTCATTTTTTAAGTTACATGACAACCCGTTTACTCATCGGCAATAAGGGGTGATTCATTCAGAAAATAATTTTAACATATGGAATGAGAGTTTAGTGAATGTGACTTGTAACATTGACATTACCATCTAGTCATTTGTGTTAGTCAAAAGTGTGCGATTTCCCTGCAACACACACAGGATAGTATTCCACACATCGTCTTATCTCTCTGTAATTATAAGATGATATATACACTTTATTGATCCCTACTATTGAACCCCTAGGGGAAATTCTTCTTTTCACTCTTTTTATTCTTACACACACAGGCTGAAATACACCCTTCACACTTGTGCACATGCAATAGGGAGAGAGATGGTAGAGTGATGGGCTCACCACGTTAGCAGTGCCTCTCCAGCTACAACCGGTCCACACTCCATATTGTGGTCTTTGGGATTTGAACCAGTGACCCTCCGGTTCCCTAGCCAAGTCCCTACACACTGAGCTACTGCCACCCCAAGATCCCCATGATCCCGTGCCACTGTCAGTGTGAGCTCTTTTTCCACCGGTCAACATGTAACTGCTATCATCCAGACAACCCAGAGTAGTAGACAGGAGGAAGAAGCCCTGCAGCCGCTAGCTATTGATTTTCACATGATAGCACATCACATGCTTTTATTGTTTGGGGAGCTCAACAGTGCTGACCATGATTTCTTTATTTTAGTCGATATGTTCCCATAGAGATCCTGTAGCCCCCATCCTCCTTTCACACCCCTCATTGACCAGTGTGCTTTAAATTGGGCAATAGGGGAATAGTATTGTTAACACCAGCAGGGGAGGGCAGGAAGTGGTACTAGAGGAACATGGAGGGAGAAGAAGGAGAAGAAACACAGGCTGGAATCCCAGCCCTCGCAAGCATTCAGTTCCAACTTGCCAACAAGTCCAACAATCAGTGGTTGCTGATTTAAAGCAAGTCAGTGTTTACAATAAATTATTATATTATACAGTTTATAGTTAGAATAAGGTAAGAAGGAAAATCTATTATTTTGCTAGAACAGGTTTTTTCTGTTTTTAACACATTCATTTTGCTTGTTTTAGGTTTGGCACATGTACATGTAAAACCCCTCGCTCTCAGCATCAGAGAATGAAACTGTAGTGCTGGCAAAGACAGAACAAACTGATTTTCTACTATTCTACTGTGTGTTTGTTATGTACTAGGTCTGCACTGCTTCCAGGCAATAGCACAGCCTCACCAACTTAACTTCCAGTGATTACGATGGAATCATTACAGCCTGTATAGATCTAGTTTGGGATTGTGTGTGAATGTTTAGAACAAATGGCAGTGTTGTTTCTTACTGATTGCAGTTATATTGGTGGAGATTTTGCCTCATAGGGGTATGCACATAATTCCTCTTTTACTAATAACCAGTGCTTATGGCTCTGATGAGTTTGTACAGTATTGGGGGAGAGAAAATAACCTTTTTTTGTTTTGCAGTCCACAAAAGCCTTGTAAGTGCTATTGGGATAAAAGCCCAAATGAGAAGCATTACCCCAGTAACTGCACTCATTCATTTTGGTTTGTGGAAAGCAAGTAACTACGATATCTCCGCGTGATAGTATGAATCTTCATGATCGTCGTACCTAGCTGACCAGCTTCCGCAGTAATATTTGCCATGCACCATCACTGAGACAGAAAGATGGGAGAAGAGATTTAGAGAACAGTTTCCTGCATGTAATTGTGTAAGACAAAATGGCAATAACAGCAGTTGTCAGTTCTGGTGTTTGCTTTATTGCTCCCTAACTGGACGTAATTGTGCACATAAAGAAAAGAGGAGAAATCCTATTCCATGTCTCAGTCATAAAAAGCTCTGATCTGATTCTACATCTCATTTTAGCACATCCATACCCACAGGGAATTATTGTGTACACAACACAGTTGAGATTATATTTTCTTCTAAATACATATTCCATAATTGTGTAAATACTGAAGAATTAAACTGCCATTTAGTAGTGTAAAAGTGCGTTGAATGGTCTGAAGACGAGAAAGGCGCTATACAAGTACAGGTCCATTTACCATTACCATTTGTTGACCTGTTTTCTGGACCTGGGGTGGACATGTGGTATTGTAATTTTGACTTGAAATGGTAAATGGTAAATGGTAAATGGACTGTACTTATATAGTGCTTTTCTAGTCTATATGTTGTGGAAGAGTTGTGACAAAGATGTACCGAAGCATGGCACTGAAGCTTTTAACTCACTTTATAACTTCTCTGTGTCACTTCACTTAAATATTAGTTTTATGTCTAACCCCGAAATTCCACTGGGCTTGGCTTTAACCTTGCGCCTGCGTTGCGGTTTGGCTCTGTGAGTCACTCGTCTTCAAATCCCACCGAGAGCATTTCAAAGGCGGGCGTCTTCAGAGCATGTTGTGTAAAATGTGATCTGGAGTCTGCACATGGTATTTTATTCTGAAAATTGTTTCTGTGTTTAACTTCCTGCTTGTGCGCCATGCTTTGTGCTGCTTCACTCAATTGGG